GTATGTGTATACATCTTTTCCTTTTAAAATGCATGCACACAGATAAAAATGTACTTTTAAAAGATGAGATCAGATAATATTCTATGACTTGTTTTATCATTGTTTTAACAATTAACAGTATATTATCTTAGAGATTTTTTCCTGTTAGTACACTCTTTTTAGTGGCTGAACATTATTCTATGGTATGAATACATAATAAAGTGAATATGAATTCTCTTCCCTTTTCTTTTTTTGAGACAGATTCTTACTTTGTCAACCTTGGAAGAGTGCTGTAGCATCATAGCTCACAGCAACCTCAAACTCTCAGGCTCAAGTGATTCTCCTGCCTCAGCCTACCCAGTAGCTGGGACTACTGGCACCCAGGTATTTTTTTTTTCTTTTGTTTAGTAGGCCCAGCCCTGGAGCATGTGGCCAGAGCCCTAACCACTGAGCTATGGGCGCCCAGCCTCTCTTCCCTTCTTAATAAAAAAGAACGCAAACAGTAAAACATGAGAAATACTACCCTAGGCCTTAATTTTTTTTCTTAGAGATAGATCTGCATGTACTGGAGAATATACCATTCTTTCTCATAGCTGCAGGAGATCCCATTATAAGGATCTATTTGATGTCCCTACTTGATAATTACATTGTTTTGTTTTTTTTTCTATTATAAACAATATTCTGTGGACATCCGTTTTTTTGTTCACATCCATGAGTACTTCTGTGACAATACTCATTGCTAAACTTCCATCCAAATAAATACTTCCAGTTTCTAAATAATTAAAAAGAAGAGAGACTGATAAGATTATAACAGTATTCTAAGTATCTTATTTACATTCATGGGGATTTAAAAATTTAAATATTCTGGCTCAGCACCCATAGCACAATGGTTAGGGTGCCAGCCACATACACGGAGACTGACAGGTTCAAACCCAGCCTGGGCCAGCTGAAACAATAATGACAACTGCAACAAAATACAGCCGGGCATTGTGGTGGGTGCCTGTAGTCCCAGCTACTTGGGAGGCTGAGGCATGAGAATTGCTTAAGCCCAAGAGTTGGATGTTGCTGTGAGCTATGATGCCATGACACTCTACTGAGGGTGACATAGGGAGACTCTGTTTCAAAAAAAATAATTAAATATTCTTCTAGGCTCGGCGACTGTGGCTCAAGTAGCTAAGGCGTCAGCCACATATACCTAAGGTGGCGGGTTCGAATCCAGCTCGGGCCACCAAACAACGATGGCTGCAACCAAAAAATAGCCAGGTGTTGCGGTGGGTGCTTGTGGTCCCAGCTACTTGGGAGGCAGAGGCAGGAGACTCGCTTGAGCCCAGGAGTTGCTGTGAGCTGTGATGCCACGGCACTCTACTCAGGGGGAAAGCTTGAGGCTCTGTCTCAAAAAAAAAAAAAATTCTTCTATTGAAAAATTTGAGAATGTAGTTGCACATATAAAAAGTCCAGTAGGATACATTCCAAATTTAAGGTGTAATTTCACACTGTTTAAATTCTTAAGTACATATTGACCTGGATTAATTTTTAAAAAGTAGATAAAAGAAAATAAAGATTATGGGGAATAGCAAGCTTATTTTTGCCTTTCCTTTAATCCTCAAGGTAAATTTTCTTCATTGGATTACTATCATATTAGTATTCACAACTAATGTTTCATGTAGTTGTAACTACTAAACAAACATGTTAGAATTATTTTTCCTGTTGGGTGGTGCCTATGGTTCAGTTGGTAGGGCACCGGCCCCATATACCAAGGGTGGCGGGTTTGAACCTGGCCCCAGCCAGCTAAAACAGCAGTGGCAACTGCCACAAAAATAGCTGGGTGTTGTGGCAGGCGCCTGTAGTCCTAGCTACTTGGGAGGCTGAGGTAAGAGAATCACTTAAGCCCAGGAGTTGCTGTGAGCTGTGATGCCACATGGACTCTGTCTCAAAAAAAAAAAAAAATTATTTTTCCTGTTTAACTCTCTTCTACTATTTTTCCCTTTTTATCCCATTACGTTCCTAATCATGTTAGTGTCTACTATCTTCTCTACAAGGTCTGACATTTAAGTTCATGCATGTATGGTACTATGCATTTATACTGGTGGCACTGTACAAACAACTCAGTAAGGTTTCATAACCTTGGTATATCACTGTCTCCCAGTTGTGTTTGTGTCAACATGTGGTGGCATCTTAATGAATGGTGTTTCTTATTGTTGTGTGTTTTTGTGTGCCATTCCAAGAATGCTGGAGCTTGAATTAGAGGAACAAACAAACATTAAGTTTCTTTTTCCTTTTTTTAAACTGACACAGAGCTCTCCCTGTCACTCTGGGGT